TGTGTACTCAAGGTCCCAGTTACTCCCAAAAATATCAAAAATATAAAGTATAAAAAAGAAGCAGTATACAGTACAAGGATCCAAGATATACACTAAACAATAATAATGTAATACAATACTGTACGGGGCAGCACGGTGGCGCAACTGGTAGAGCTGCTGCCTCTCAGCGAGCAGGTCCCTGGTTCAAATCCTGGTCCGGGGGCCTTTCTGGGTGGAGTTTGCATGTTCTCTCCGTGCATGCGTGGGTTTTCTCCGGGTGCTCCGGTTTCCTCCCACAGACCAAAAACATGCATGTTAGGCTGATTGGTAACTCTAAATTGTCCCTAGGTGTGAGTGAGAGAGTGAATGGTTGTTTGTCTCGTTTGTCTCTATGTGTCCCTGTGATGGACTTGCGACCCATCCAGGGTGTACCCTGTCCCTCGTACAGTGATTGCTGGACATGGGCACCGGTGACCCCCGTGACCCAAAATGGAATAAGCGGGTAAAGATAATGGATGGATGGATGGATGGATGGATACTGCACGGTATATTAAACAGTAGCCTGAACATTTTTCTGGGTGTGTACTGCACCTATTTTTATATTTTCATCTTTTGGCTTCTCCCTTTGTCCTGCTATATCTAGGGTGCCCAGAGGAGCAGATGGGGGTGCGTGGGAGATCAAGGGCCCAGAGTGGGGCAAATGAGGGTGGAGACAGGTGTGGGTGCTTCACCTATCCCACCCACATTTTGATGTTGTCAGTACCAGGAATTGAACCAGCAATCTTCCAATCAAGGGCTCACCTCCTCTAGCCTCTGCGCCACCACTCCCTGCACCTGTACTGCACCTATCTATATGTTAAAAGGTTCAAATCAAAAGGAGCGTGTAAAATAATGACATTCTTTGAATCTGGAATCAACGTTTTACCACCGAAATGTAATTGCTTTCTAACAAAAATACGCCAACTTTTGTAATTTATGTGAACTGAGCTTTCAGCTCCAGATATTCAAATGTACTATACATTTTTTTAAACTTCGATTGAATTTTGGGTACTATGCAGTACTCGGAATCCAATTCTCGTAAGTAGAAAATGTTTTTAACTATTATATGCTAAATCGAGTTTCCATAACCTTCAAACCAAGAGCCCTCCGAGTCTTTATGACCAGAGACCATAAAAGGTGAAAGACAGGTCAACGGAAAGCGGAGAAAAGACGGACAATGTGACGTCATGTCTTTGAATGAAAACGTTTTGTCCATCCATGATCTTTGCTCCTTCTTCCTCTACTTTTTATAAATATTTGCGACACGACGATATATACCGAGTGTGGTTTTAGTAGCTTATTTGTGCGTTTTACTTGATTAAAAGGTTTGCTATATAAAAAAAACCAAGTAATAAAAACCTGTTACCTGTTAAATATTTGTTTCGCTCCTAGCATCAGCTAACCTGGGCGCAGTTACGTTAGCGCTAGCCTACAGGCTGCTCATTTAATACATAACCTAAATACATGACCTTTTTTGTCTTTATACAAGCTGGCTTGGTTTAGTTCACTAATCTTTCTGAGCTGTTATCATTTCTTATTAGTGAAGTAAAATTTAGCGACAACAGACTCGTTTTCGCTCGTTTCTACCCTCCTCCCATGATGCCTTGCGCTCCGGCTGGACCTGATTGGTTGTGTCCGCTCGGCTATCTCCGCTCGCGTTAGAGTCTCGGGCGGTGCAGCTACGCCTCTCGCGGCAGCAGCAGCGTAGTAGTAATCTGCCTGCCGCGCATTTTGTGTCACGGTGCCACCGGGAGAGGGGCGACATACCGCTGCGCGTCAGGATACCAGGCACCACGGTTCAAGCGACGTATCGCCGCGGGCGATGACATTTGTTGACTGAAGTGGGAATAAACGAGGACAAACACAAAAATGACGGTAGACTTTGAAGAATGTATAAAAGATTCCCCCAGATTCAGGTAAGATCATCCTCACAGCGGTGCGCAAAAATGGCACACCTTCTTTTTGCATAAATGCCTTTAAATAGACGCAGCAGGCTCGGATCCTAAGAGATTTGTTGTGGCATCAACAGGATGTTCTGATTTATTGTGTCTCAGCCGCACATGCTCACCAGGAAGATGGCGTTTGTCTTTTTCTTGCTCTAATTGTCAGGCACAACATATTAAAATATCATTCCATTTTTTTTTTTTTTTTTGGTAATATTTTTAATAAAAATGTAACATTGTTAGGAGATAATCAGTAGCCTACCTGTGTGGTTTTATTTTTAAATTGTTATTATTGTGGGTTGCAAATGAGCTCAGTATATAAGGAGATAAAAGGTCCATGTTGCTTAAATATTGAATTCAAATGATGTTTTTCTTTTTATAAAAACGTCCTACAGCCTCTTTAGGGGACTCGATCATTGTGGGTGAGTCCTGTGTGTGCATGTTGCAGCAGGGTGCACAGTGGGGGTGCAGGCTTTTAGAGGAGGATGATGTGGTGGCAGCAGGTGAGGGAGCAGAGCTGGGCCCAGATCCAGATGTTCGGCCTCTGAGGGACCTTGTTCTGTCCACGTGCCAGTCTTCACAGCTGTGGGAGCCAGTGAGATAAAAGTTGAGGAGAATCTCTGCAAATGTAGTCCAGAGCCGACGCGTTTAATCACAGTGTGGTCTTTATATTTCCTTTATTTGTAAAGTTTCTCTCACTGCTCTGTGCTTTTATCTCCCACAGATGTTGTCCTGTAGTCCTGTAGCTCTTTCAGACGCTTCGCCCTTTTTTTTTTGGTCTTTGCTGCTATCAGCCCATAAGTGGCCAAAAGGGCGATAATGTTTTGGACTGTGTCTGTGCATGTGTGTGTCTGTTGGCAAAATATCTCGTGAACCACTCAGTGCAAATAAATGAAACTTAAAGAAGGTAACCAGTGGGTGATCATCTACAACTGGACAGCATTTGGAGTGAACCCCTTTTAAGATGGCCGCCGCAGCCAGCCGATCTTAAAAAAGACAAACACGTCTATAACTCTGTCAATTTTACAGAGAAGTTGCCAAGATTTGTTGTGGTTCTAGTAGAGACTGATTCCAAACGCATATTTGGAGCGCTACCAGATTTCTTTTTTCAAAATTTTGTCTTTAACTATTAGGATTTAACTCTGTGTCTGTTAGCGTAATATCCCATGAAACTTTGTACAGATTTGAATGAAACCTTTAGGAAATAACCATCAGATGTACCTGAACAACTGATTAACGTTTGTTAAAGTCAAGATGGTCAAGTGACATTAAAAACCTCGAAAATGGCTACAGTTTTCACAGATGTTGAGCTAAGATGTGGTGGTTTACAACATATATTCTGGGTGTCACATCTTGCAGTAATGGGCGAGATCGAGCTTTATTTTATTTTTAAGGTTTCGCCAAAACAGCTCCACGATTTCTCGACGTGAGGCTAAAATTCTGGCATGAAAGGTGATGGGCGATATGCATTCCTTCAGGTCAATAGTAAACCTTTAAGTGTGGCAGCAGCAGCTCAAGCGCTGCGTGACACAACAAGCTAATTCAAGTCTGTTGTCTTCAAAAGAAGAAAAAGTCCTTCATATGTGTTTTTACTGGTGACCCGGCTGCACCATTAACGACCGGGAAGTGGTGAGCAGCAGACAACCAGTCCGGCCTGTCCTTCGTCTCTCAGCTAAAACAGTTCGCACGTGCCCTCGCCCTGCAGGTTCCAGCTTGTACCAGCGGTGCAGTTGGGCATGCATGACTGGGAGAACATGAAAGAACGTTTGATCGAGCATCTCTTTGTTTCCTTCTCCTGTTTCTTTCCTGCCTCTGCCCAGCCTCTCGTTCAGTGGTCACCTGCAGCGTTCAGAGTAAAACCGAGCTCTGATCTCCAGCATCCTTGAGGCACATTGCTTTTATTTAAATGTATTTATTGTTACATTTACCGCCCTGCTCTAGTTTTGTTTGGCTCGGTGAACGCGGCTGTGTTGGCCAGACAAACTTGTGTTGGATGTGAGGATGAACTGACCGGAGCAGAACGTGAGGAGAAGCACGGAGCAGGACGTGAGCTGCACAAACACACGGCGGGTTTCGTGTTTCCTCTCGTCGCAGGACAAAAGAATCTGCATAATGGCAATTACATAAGGTTTCGCTTCATTCTGTCCCATCTTATATAAAT